GTTGCAAGCTGAAAGTAGCACAAAGGCTGTTAAGGGGTCAGCACTCACTGTGAGCTGGGCAGAGATCTGCAGTGGGATCAACCTGTGGTCGCTGTTAATTCCAGCACAGCAACAGTATGTGTATTTATGAAGAGCAAGTGAGTTCAGATAGAACCTAATACTACATCTAAAAGAGCTGAACAGTGACATAACTAGGGCAGCATGACCAGAGCAAGTCCCTGGGCTGTCTACTTGTTATGGGAGGGAAGGCTGCAGTTGATTGCCATGTGGTCATTATCATGCTGGTGCCATGGTGGCAATCAGAAATTGTGAGTACCTTGGGTACCTGGCTGTGTCACTATGTTGCTGGAGCTGAAATCATTGAGTGTGCTGTTGTATGGGCCATGGTCTGTGTGGCAGAGCACAGGTGGGGTGCTCACCACGTGACTTGGACAGCAGCAGGCTGGAGAACAGCCAGCAGTGAAGGCACCAAGGAGATACCCCGAGGGTCATGTTTCTAAGGGGGAAGGTGTGTGGTGGAGCATCAGTGGGGTACTCACTACTCTGGGGCTGTTACAAGCTCTGTGGGAGCCTACTTGCGTAGCAGCAGGGGAAAGCCTCCCCCAGGAACCATTTTAAGGGGGAAGATGGGTGGCAGAGCACATCTGGTGTCTGCCACTTTAAGAGCTGGCAGCAGGTGATGCCCCATCTCTGATGAGTGGCCAGTCTAGATCCAGGCCAGCAGAGCTGGAGGTAGCAGTTTGGTGCCAGACACCGAGGAAGGAAGGTTGTTGCTGCTCCTGCAACAACTAGGAGGTAAGGGCAGGAGCTTATGGAGATGTCTTGGAGGCTCCTGGTCCTGGGCATGACCTAAAACTGCCCCCTGCCGAGATAACGAGGCCTAGTGGTCCTGCCTGTGGTGGGGCAGGGCCAGGAAATGCCAGGTTCGAGGACCATCCCGGTGGAAGGTAGGTTGGGGTGCCTTAATAACCCCTGCCCCCACCACCCAGTGGGTTACATGATAACATCAGAGAGAGAGGAGTGGGGCCAGGGATGTCCATAGGGGACACCTTGAGCCCATTAAGGGTGCAAGACCCTGAAGGGGAGTAGTGAAGGCCAGGTAAGCTTTGAGAAGCACCTGAGCCTGAAAGCACCTGTGCTGATGAGACCAGGGGCAAAGTCAGCACAACATTTTCTGAGCCGCCCAGTGCTTGCTCAGATGAGGGTAGTGGGAGATGGCCAAAAAGCTGCATGCTTGCTGGCCAGGGAGTGAAGCCTGAGGACCCTCTGGGTGAGGGCAGGGTGAATGTGGTCCCCAGGAGAGAAAGGGCAGTATGTGTGAGGCCTAAGAAGGGTGGGATGAAAGAGACCAGGTGGGAGCCAGTGGAGAGTAAGAGGCCTTTTTGAGAGGGAGGTGGTATGAGTGTGACCCTAGCAGGGCAGAGTGAAAGAGACTCGGTACTGTGGCAAGTTGGGCCTGGCCTCAGGCTGGAGCTTAACATAGCTGTGAGCAACATCTGCAAGGCATGGGACACATAAGGGGACATAGGAGCGTGTACTTCTGGCTCTTAGACATCAGGGCCCTTGAAGGGCAGCCTCCCGCCTAATTATGAACCAATTACTTAACAGCACTTCAGGAGGGATGTGGACAGCATTGAGAGGGTCCAAAGGAGCCGCTCGCATGGCCGGGGGTGGGGGGCAGGCCTACAAGGAGAGGCTATGGGACATGAACCTGTTCAGCCTCCACAAGAGAAGGCTGAGAGGGGATCTGGTGGCTGTCTATAATCTTACCAGGGGAGACCAGCGGGGAATGGGAGAGTCCCTGTTACCTTGGGCGCTACCAGGAGTAACTAGGAAAATAATGGCCACAAGTTGACTGAGAGTAGATTCAGGCTAGACATCAGGAGGCACTACTTCATAGTCGCGGGTGGGGGAGGATCTGGAACCAACTTCCAAGGTAAGTGGTGCTCGCTTCTACCTTGGGGGTCTTCAAAAGGAGGCTATATAATCACCTAGCCGGGGTCGTTTCACCCCAGCATTCTTTCCTGCCATGGCAGGGGGTCGGACTTGACGATCTGCTCAGGTCCCTTCTGACCAAACTAACTATGAAACTAACTATGAAACATGGATTAACTCTTGGGCAAAGACTGATGTGGTAGCATTTGGGAGACATTTCCTAAGGGGGCTGCAGCTAGGCAAGCAGCAGCTGCAGGGATGGGAATGAAAGAAATTCTAAAAGCTGTGGAGTGGTCAAGGCACTTTGTATTTAGACATTTTTGTTATTAGGAAGTAATGGGATCTTATGTTTCACAGGTTTTGATTCAGGCTTTTGGCCAAACTGTAACAAGAAACTTCAGAGTTTTATAATAGAATTGTGATTTTCCTGCATTGACCTTGAAGGTAAAGTCAGGATTTCATTAAAGATGCTGAGACAAATTGCTACATCTTTCTCATCCTCCTTACTTCTTAAGTCTTAATAGAATATTTTTTAGACTCTTAGAGTGCAGGACTCATAACAGAAGTGTACAACAAGATGTGAGGCGGGAAGCTTAGAATCAGATGACAGTTATAAATGTTATGGCTCAAGTTCAAAATGGTTTTCCACTTATTCCAGGGCCTCAACAACTGAACAGGGGGCAAAAGAGAGGAAATGCTTTTGCATTTAATTTGTCTCGCTATTTTGTTTTTACCACTGTGAATTTTGTTGTTTTAACTGATGTGCCTTGAACATGAAAAAGAGGATTGGTTGTAATCTGGCTCAGCGTCTTTAATGAAATGCTGAGCTTTCTCTCAGGTTCATGAGGGAAATTACAATGGGCTTTGTAGAAAAGGATCACAAACAAAATGAATGTGGATGTTTTCCTGAGAAACTGAGTACTGAAAATTCTTTGGGACAAGGGACTCATGAATCCACATGTTTGTACAGCTCCCTGCAAAATGACTCGGCCCTGGTTAGAGCTTTCAGTTGCTACTGTACTGCAAATAGTAAATAATAATTAAAGAGGGATTTTATACCCTAGCTCCCTAAGGTAGGATTGCATGTATAATGGCAAGATCTTAGGTGCTTATTGCATTTTTGCTTCTTAATCTGCAAAAGGTTATTAACACAGTGGTCACTATTTCACAGTTTTAACTGAGCCCACTATATATACCCCACTGTCTTTGACCTCTCTGGCTGTATAAAAATGAGCTTGTTATCTGATGGGAAAGCACAACCTCAACCTCTTAAAATGAAAATCAATAGCTAGTGGATTTTCTGTCCAAATGAACTCTACCCTCAAGCAGCTCTGACTATTCCTCCTCCCCACTCTGGCTGCTCCCACGGCGAGACCCAGTACAAATTGTACTGAGCTGCGTTTTTAAAATTTGGATACGCCTCTGGTGGTATGTGGCGAACTTCGGGAGGGTATGTGAGAGGAATGAATGGGCGGAAGGGAATGGGGAACTATGAACGGAGGAGTAAAACAAAGGAAATAGGACGGACAAGTCATAAGGACTCAAGAATTGCCATTAACTGGGTCAGACCATAGGTCCACCCTGCCCAGCCTCCTGTCACAGTGGCAGAGAGTGGATACTGATAGGGAGACTGAACTGGGTCTGAGCAGGGGGTTTAGGGGTTTTTTTTGCCACTGTTCCCCTCCCGCTCCACAGTGGCTGGTGGGGGTCGCACAGTGCGATGGCAGTAGTGTCACCTCTCATCCGCCGAAGCAGAGCCGCAGAGGGGTGCGCTGCAATATACCGCGCTTCAAATGGGGCGGGGAGGGACGGAATGAAACAGCGTGAGGCAGGGGCTCCCGGCTCTGTCCCTCGGGCGCAGGGGCCCCGCCCGCACAAACGGCGCAAGGAGCACATCCAAGCCCTCGGTGCCTGTTTGCATTTCAGTCTCCACACAAGGGTCGCCCCGGAACATCTGCCCCGTGAGCTGCCAGCGCGCCCCGCTCTCAGCACCAGCGCAGGCAGCTGCCCCGCCCCAGGCGGTTCCGCGAGCACACCCCCCGCCCCCGGGCACGGCTCC